CCCCCCCCCCCCCCCCCCCCCACCGTATTTCGTCCTCTATTGAGAGGCCCTCAACCATCAATCCAAGATCCGCCTGCCAGTTCCTGTCCGACCTCTTTTGTTGTTGCTGCTCTGCCGCTTTGGTTTGTTTCTCTGCCTTTAGATCCCAAGGCCACGTCCAACATCCGGCAAACCCAGCAACACCCTACGCTCAACCGCGGTCCGTATAATTCGACAAGAAGCTCTGAAACTTTCGCCCTTGACACATTCCACCGTCGCGAGGCCGCAAATTCGGCTTGTCAAGTGGTGAGAGCTTTGCACGTGCCGTGGATGCCGAGAAGGGCTGCTGAAAAAAGGTACAGTAACTAATGCCCTTACACCAGGAAGCCGGCGAAGGGCTTTGGGGTATATCCTCTAAGCCGCAAAGATCCTAATGCCCAAGCCTCGTCCCAGGATTTAACCTCCTAAGAAAGCCTCGTAAGCGGAATCTGAACACGCAGCTCCTCCTTTGAAAGAGCAACAGCTTGCAGTAGAGAATTTCCGATATTGGGGTCTGCGATACGGACGTACGACTCAAAGAGAATGCCAAGCACCCTACTTATAACATATTGCATGTAGTATTTAGCATGTAATTAGAAATATCATATTATATTCTTGACAATTAGCCACTCTCCGAGCGCCTTGGAGCGTGCGAATGACTCCAGCTCATTCTGCTCCACCTGAAAAAGGCAACGAATTCCTAAAGTGTCCATGCCTTGCCTCATAAGCAGGGGATGCACGAATCCTTGCGAACTCGGGATTGCAACAGACCGACCCAAGCTGTCAAAGCATCCCGCTGCCTGAAGCCCTAATTCGTTCGACCAGCGTTCCTGATGTGACACTGCGAAAAACAAGCAGGCACCAACAGTAATTATGGTAGTTGATCTAAAACCGGAATCCGTGAAACCCGTCTGTTCAGCAGATGCCTTGCCAGACTTATCGACATCCAGCTCCTGAAGAGCCTGCAGGGAGTGTAGCGGCAAGGGGCTTGGACTTGGTGTGCTTGGCTTCGGGCTGCGCCTGGGAACTATAGGGGCCTCAGCATTTGGCACAGGGTTTTCAATTTCTTTACCGGTAGAACTACAATAGGGACTCTAAGGAATAGTATGATAGGATTAACGCAGAAGCCCTAATAATTAGAATAGGGTTTTTGGGTATATTATACTATATATTTTAAAGTAAAGAACCCCCGAGATGGTCTTGGTAATTATTTAGGCTCCTATAGTCGTTCTGCAGGCATCCAGAAATTCGAGGCGGAGGCCTCTAAGGCGGTGCGACAAAGCCACGGGGACCCAAAGCTTCAGGCGATTCCTGGAGCCTCCTTCCCTCCTTTCCAACAGGGAATCCTTTCAACTCTTGGGGGTGCTTTGGGTTTAGGGTTTAGGGTTTAGGGTTTAGGGGTTTAGGGTTTAGGTTACGGTCATATTGTGAGACTAGATACTTGCAAAAAGCAGCCCTTGAGGAAAAGTATTACCAATTGGCTTCCCAGAGAGACATGTCGTTCCATGGATGGGGTCTTCTTGCAAGGAGAAGTAAACATCGAGCCAAAATCGAGAGTGTAAGAACAATAGTCGGTGAGGACTTGGAAGTTGCGTCTTTGAAATAGTCGATTAATTTCTTTTCGAATTTTTTCTTGCATATATCTCCGTTACTTGCAGGAAGTTTCTCAAGCTTTCGCTGGAGCTTTCTTCATTGTTCTGCGGTTTTCTGCTCTTGTTCGAACACAAACTGAATTCCACCACCTGGCCGAAGACACATCCATTTCACGACCTCGAGTTGATGGTCGAAGGTTTAGGGCATGAAATAGTGGCATGTAGCGGAATGAAATTCATGACACGGAACGAAAGGAATGATTTCGCAGGGTCATTATCAAGTATCATCATGACCTGACCGTCCAACAGGCACCCCTCCAGGAAAGGATGCTGAAGCCGAAGAACAACATAGAGTGTTGAGGGTATTTTCTCCCGAACTTCCATGACGTGCTTGCGCTGTTTGGCTGGGAAGGTTCCTCTGATTGCGAGTTAAGTGTCAGGGTTTTGCAATAAGACACATGCTAGATGAAGACAGCTAGAACAAGGAACTACATCGGAGGGTTCAAAAAGCCAGGGCAGCAGGGCGGGTGTGGAGGATACTACACTCAGCCCTTCGAAACTCGGCAGGCTCCAAAGTGGGTCAGTCAGGCACAGGGTTCCTGAGGCAAAACCCGTAGATCACCTCAAACTGATCAGGTCTTGGGGCTTTGCTGCCCATATAGAAAGCCACGGCCCTAAACCCTAAACTGCAGACCCTGAACCCGAAGAGATTGTGGCCTCTTCTGTCGGGCTGGCCTTCTTTCGTGCCTGCCAAGATCTGCTGTGGATTGCAGGCTTCAGTCCGACTGGCTGCGTACCTAAGCCCTTGAACTGTTCTGACTAAATAAATACTACTAGATACTTCTAGATAACTGATAAGTGCACTAGACGTCATATGTCTCAATTCAACAGTAGAGGAGGCAACAAATCTAACACGTGATTTGCAGGAGAAGCAGCAGTTGGCACCAGTGACTAGCACGGAAAAACATGACAAGTCCACCCTTGTTTCTCTGCTTCAAACCGAGGGCAGAAAGTGTAGATTTCCCGATGTAGGAAAGACATAGCTTTTGCAGGGAACCCTACACAAAATAGTACTACCGAGCGTTGAACCCAAGCCGCTGCATTCTAGATAATTACTTGAGCTTCCGCAGATTGACCTTCGTTTCCATGCACTGGTCGGATCGGGTCCTGATCTGGTTTCTGAGCCAGATTGAAGCATATATGGCTTCCGGCGACAGGCCAGGGGATGATCACCCGCAGCCTTGGCGGGCCATACATACGGTAGCGCTCTGGCGGGAGGCGCGCGCGGTACCGTGCAAGGAGGAAGAACCATCAGGGAAATCCTCGCTGTACATGCACTGGTCGTCTTACCAAAAGATACGAAAAGCATAGCTCTCAGACTCTCACACTGCCGGCTTGAGGCTGGCCCAAAAAGTGTGAAGAGGGAAAATTGAAAGAAGACGAACTAAAGGGGGGCAGAAGAAGAACATATAATACCCACGTCAGGTTGCAGGGCGATATTCAGAGGGCGGTGTCACACTTCAAAGTAGCTGTGCTCGAGAGCTGCTTTCGCTACATGCTTGCACTCTCCCGTCCGCCCCTCCAACGCCTCTGTCATGAAAAAAGGCAAATCTTGGCCTTGAGCCAAATCAATGGCGGTGCAGCCACGCTTGTTTGGCAAGTCCAAGCGGGCTCCTTCGGCGATCAGCGCCGCAGCTCCCTCGTACTGTGCAGACAGGATCGCTGCTATCACAGGCCGCGCCCCAGAAGAATGGTAAGATATTTTGTTGATATTTGTGACCTTGCCAAAACGATGCTGTAGACTCTTCGCAACCATGAACGCCGCTTCGAACGAGAACCCTTTGAATGGATAAGGGCGATTCACGTCTGCCCGCATTTCGATGAGCCGATGGATCATTTCGGCCTTGCCGCCACGGAAACAACAGGCAAGAAAGAGGGCCCGGTTCAATATCCAACTGCTCACCCTTCCCCCAGCTTGGCGGAGGATTTCCTCCACGGCCTCCACCTGCCCTTGACCTGCAGCCGCCTCCATGGCGCTGAAACCAAAGATGTCCTGATCGAGGCGGCGGCAGAAATTCGACAACATTCCCATCGAAACAAGAAGAGGTGTAGTGTCGATGGACTTGATTCAGTCTGGAAGAATTATGCCGGGAGGATTTTTGTTACAAATGCACGGTCCTAGGGACAACATGGGCCTTTGACTCCCCAACACCACCCCAAATCTGTGCCTTGGTCGTGTGGGGGTTGCAGCCAGCATGGCAAAGAATGCGAATGCCTTCCGGGTTGTTCGAGATGCCTGCCAAGTTCAGGGCAGGTTGCAGGCCACCTTCAACTTTGGCTTTGGCGGCGAGGAGCAGCCGCGCTGCCTCGTTGTGCCTCGGTCTAGCTTCGGGTTTTGAGGAAGCGCCTGTTTCTTCCTTCCCAAAGGAGGCGTTTATCAAAATGGGATTCTGAGCCCAGGTGCCGGAAGAAGACAGAAATGGCCAGGGGCGAGACGAAAGATGCCAAACCGACGAGCGGTTGATCCTTCTTGGTTTGGAGATTCACGTCTGCCTGCTCCTCCAGGAGGCACCGGATCAAACTGGGATCTCCACCCAGAGCGGCATAGTGCAATGTTGACCATCCACGCGAATCCGAGTCCGTGACAGACTTGAAGCCATTCTGGTGTAGAAAGTGTGCCACCTCAGGAGATCTGGACTCCGACCCTCCGGGCGCGGCATCTGCCGGATCGCCGGGGATCAGATCACTCGTGGGTTTCACCTCCAAGCCCCTGAAGGTGACAGATTGCAGATTCAGAAGCACCCGGTACGCCTCTAAGTCCTTGCTCTTGAGGGAGAGCAGCAGCTTCCGTCTCAGGGTTTGCCGCAGGATCGGCGCCAGCTTGCGCTTGTCCCCGGCCACGGTGAAGACCCCCTCTCCTGGGGCTCCCCCGCCACCCCCGGCTCCTACGGGGCTCGCCACCAGCTCCAGCTCCGTCTGGCTCTTGATCATGATCCAGGAGTTCTCAGGCGAGAGCTCGCGCAAGGCTCGTTCAACACGACCTTTCCGAACCAATCGGATTCGTGCAGGGAGACAGGATCGTGAAGAACCGGTATGAAGCCTGTCAATACGAGATACTGTAGTAGAGACACATATCTTTGGAATTGCTGGCTTCCTCTTCTGTCGGTGAAGTCTTGACGGCTCTTCATTGCGAGAAGTTGTGTTTCACCACGTTGCTGTATTCTGGGTGCGGATGGGGCTCAACCTCTTCGGCGTGGGGTTTGAAGGCTACGGGGTTGAGGATTTAAAGGTTGGCGACATGGTCCTGCTGCGACTCCGACTATGGCGCTCATGGATTCTTGACCTAGTGGTTGTGAGGTAATATTACTTTCCAAAGCGATCACAGGGTGTTGCCGTGACGGCCCCCCTTTTTGATGCTGGGAAGCTACTGTACCCATAGGCCCCATAGTAGTTCCTTTTTGTGGTTACCTTATAGGATTCTATATGGGGGTTTCCGAAAATAGGGGACCCTAATATAGTACCCTAAACAGTAGGATCCTTATTATAAGGACCCAAAATAAGGGTACCTTATTTTCGGATACTCCCACATACAACCCCAAGAAGGAACTACTTTAAGGCCTATGGGTACAGAAATCAAGAAGCTGGGCGCCAGACACCAGCCCCGTTCCGACCAGCTTCCAGGGCCGAAGAGTGTGTCCTCGTCTTTTTTGGCAGCACTACACATTACCCTGACCCCCCAGGTACCTACTATAAAGGGCCCTAGGGCCTCTAGGGCCCTATGTAGTAGGTCCCTCTGGGGTTAGGGGTATCACGCGTGGATAAGAGATATTAGCGGTTATGAGGTGCGTTTCAGAGTCGAGGCCAGGCGAAAGAGGTGTTGAGGGATATGGTCCAGATATCCGTGGTCGGGGCAGTGGTTGACTAATGCTGCTGATGACTCCTGGCTTCGGCAGTCGCTACTTTATTGCATTAGCCCATGCTACATGTTGCGCTGTGTTGCCCCACCATGCATTTGCAGGATCTCGTCGTCTTAGTGCCTGGCCCCATCGTCCCCTATGTGATATTATGTGGGTCAAAGTCTGTACGTTTCCTGATCACCGCTGCTTTGGATGACCGGAGACAGGACGAAGAAGAAGCTCGATTTGGCGATGTAGGCAGGGATGCTCTCGATGGCTCTGGAAAGGCCACTGCTTTCACCTGGCTTCTTGAGGAAGTTTTTGAAAGTCAGCACACAGTGTGTATATGTATACAGTGTGTGCGCGTGTGTGTACCAACATTCTACTGAAACTGTGCGTTCATTTCTAACACGTCATGCGATCTCACCTCACCTAACCTCATACCACATCTTACAGGTACTATATCAAACAGTTTTATATTCTGTTGCACTATCAACTATCGTACTCTCAAACTACAATATGTCATCAGTTCAACACATTACATTGCATCGCTGTGCATTCTATTACACAGCATAATATCCTGTAATACGTTGTCTTGAACTGATTTATGTTCCAATACATTACAACATGTCATATCGAATCTAGTGTCATGTCAGCAACTATATCATGTCATATTACTGTACTTGAAGTATATGATATTGTGCTGTTTCATGTCATATGACATATCACAGTACACCAATATGTGTGCTATTCTGTTGTATTCTGCTCTCTTCCATGATACCATATTGTATTGGAATATAGTTTATACTACATTATACGTTATACTATACCGTACTATTGTATTATTATTGGATGCTGCAAACTATATGATATGTGTATATATCTATACACATATATATATATATATATATATTATCTTACATAACATTATACTGTTATTCTATATTATATTGTGTTATGTTATGTTATCATATGCTATATTCTATTGTGCTGATAAATACTTTCAATATAGCTATGTCATACTTATATTATACTAGACTATGTTATCTTACGCTATGTCATATTATACTATATTCATGTCATAGTTGTAGTATGTATAACTGTACTCTATTTTAACATACGATGCTATCCTATACTATATTATATCGTATTATATCATATTTTTATATTGTATTGCATCTCCTTGTCTTATGGTTAGATATATGTCATGCTAGCTTATATTGTATTATATTAGTGCAACCACCTGGTTGTGCGCTGTGAGTTCTGCCCCGCTCCTGCCACCCACAGACCCTAGTCCTCAAGCCGGACTGAACCCAAGCAGCAACCCTGCAGCCACAAACCCCAACCGTTCCAGAGGAGGGATGACCATTGGGGAAAGGGGGGCAGGTCCTCGCCCGCCGGGGTGCAACCCTACAATCAAAAGCCTCCCTCCCCGTTTCCCACTCCTTTGAGGGGGGAAAAGATCCAACGCGAACCAAGTCGAGTCACTGATGTGCCGGCCAATGCCACTTCTCCAGGAGGCTGTGGCTTGGAGATCGAGCTGCGGGCAGGAGAAGTAGTCGTACCAAACAAAGAGCGGCTTCGAACGCAGCTTCGCGGTGTCCAGGCACTTGGCGCCAGGTACCAAAGCTTCTGAGTTCATATCCAAGGGGATATACTTCAGGTCCGACATCACATGCCGCAAGGCATCTTGCAACACTCTCATCTGCTTGAACTCTGGGTCCGGGTGGTTGCGGCCAACCCACTGGTGTGACACGAAGGCCGCCTGTCCCAATGTTTGCTCGAACTCCACCAAGACCCCTTGCTCCATGAGCTCCTGGTGCAGAAATACCAACTACAGCTTGCAACTTCCTCGTGGTGCTGCGCCCCTCCCAGAACATGCGCCGGTTCGAACCAGAATGCAAAACACGTACCGTGCCCTTCCCGGCCTCGTGCGGAACGATCTCCCCCATGTCGAAGAGCACCTGCCGGGCTGTTGACTCGAAAGCAAACTCTTGACTATGAAACGGTCGAAGGATTCCTTTCGGGTCGCACACCAGTCTCGTCTTACAGAGATAACGAAGGCGACAGGATGGTGAGAGTGCCGAGTTGAGGTTCTTGCTCACAAGGTTCCCTAAACCCTAAACCCTAAAGGCCCTAAACGGAATCTGCAACCAGCCTTTAGGGGCACCGTGTACATCGGGAAAAGCATCTCGACCCCCTCATCCGCGATCTTGGCATTTGGTCCTGCTTTTCCGGTAGCAAGCTCGGCTGCTGTGATCAGAGTTCAGCGTCGGGTCGGATGACACATGATTCTGTTTCAAGCTGCAGTTGCCATTCACTTTGATTCCGTAAGGTATTCCACTCTTCGATGGTCCAAAACAAAGATCTTGCGCTTGCTTCAGGTGCTTAGTTCTGGGAGGTCCACCCCCCCCGTCCTGATAACCAGTTCGCATGCTGCTCCAGTGGAGTAGTCGCAGCGGTGCCGGCGGCACACAGCATCTTCCGAGGATTTAAAAAAAAACCGGCGCAACCAACGGAACCCACCTCTGCGAGGTTTCGGCGCTGAGCCGAAACTGCGGAATGTCGGCAGCAATGGAAGTCTCTTTGCCTACATGCCTGCGACGTTTCCTGCGCCCCGAATTAGTGCAAATCCGCGAATGCAGAAAAGGGCAAGACACCAAACAAAGCTGTTTGCTCTCCACTGCTGCTGGGTGAATTCATGCCGGGCCGGGCCCCAGAAACTTCCGAAGCCAGCCCGAGGTCCCAAGTCCTAACACCCCATCCGAAAACCGTCACGAAGGGCCCCAAAAGTAAGCAAAGGCCCCGAACTGCGAACCACGACAGCCTCCCTGCCTCCACGACGAAGGCAAGAGCCAAAGGCAAGATGAGGGTCACCCGCATGGCGAAAGAGGTTCCTACCAGGGAGCCCTAAACCCTACCCATAGGCCCGATAGTAGTTCGGTTACCTTAGAGGATTCTATATATGAACCCCAAAAAGGAACTACTTTAGGGCCTATGGGTAAACCAGAGAGCCAAGTGGAGGATCGACTCCTGAGCTTTCGAGTCTTGGTGGCCCCATATCCCTCAAGAGTGAGGGCACCCCTTCCCCCAGTACAAGAGGGCATGATACAAGGGAGCAGTAACCACAACATAAAGAGGCTAAAGGGGTACTAGTGCAAGGACCTAGGAATCTAGACTTTAGGCATTCGAGGCTCCGGGATAAAAGCTGTATGGCGACGCCTGCCATTGAGTAGCCCGGCCCACATTAAACGGTGAGATGTGCTTACGGCTCCTACCTCCCTTGTACTGTGAGGCTGCTGCCCAGTACCACCAGACTCAACAACCGACTCTTGGGAGCTGCAGTCGGCCGTGTTCCATGGTTCTTTCCTTAGAAATCTTACCGATTCAACATGGCTGAGATAAATCACTACAATTTTAGGTTTAAGTATTATTAAGGGGTTCAGGTGTTGGGGCGTCCTGTTCAAGCCTGTGCGGCCATGCTCTGACTGGCAGGGAGCCCTGGAAACCGTGATCCCCAACCTCCACAGCCTTGCTCCCACGCAATCTTCAATCCGCGGCTATGTCCCTAACTTCAAGACAGGGCGGCTGCCTGTTGGGTGGATGACTCTTCAAGACCTGAGTGATGACACCGTTTCAAAACAGAAGGCATCCACAGGGAAGCGACTCAGCGAACATCTGGCAAAGGGGCAAGGCCAAACCCCGCCACAACTCCAAAGCCCAAACTGCAACCTAGGCAGGGGCGGGGTGGTCGTGAAAAAAGAGTCCGGGAAAGCCAGCTGATCTGCAGGGCATCAGGGCTTTACTTTGAGTAAGGTGATCGAGGGCTTTGACGAACGAGAGACTGTCAAGATGCTGAGAGCCCAGCGGAAGCTCAGCCACGAAGCAGCCAAGCTCACAAAAACGAAGCGACAATCTTCACTCCTGAACCCTTGAAACCAACTCAGATCTCTTCTACTATATTATTTTTTTACATAACATATATCCTCCTCTAAGCTTTTGGAGCGACTCTGGAGCTCCAAGGGCGGAAAGTCTAGTGGAAAGACTCGTTCTCTGATGGGGGGCAAGGCTTGAGCCGAGGCAGCGAAGAAAAAGAGAAAGGATTCTGTGGTGTTTAGGGCAGTTAGGGTTTAGGGTTTAGGATTTAGGGGCCCAGGGTTTAAGGTTCAGAGTCACACTGTTCCGAAGCTTGGTAAGCTCCGATTGCCAGTGAGGCTCTGTCTGTGCTCAGCCCTCTCACTCAAGAGCCTGAAGCCTGGTCAGCCACCCGGAAGATAGAAACAGGACGGAGGACGGGAAGTCGTCCGAGCCCGAAACCCCATGCCTCAGAGCCCCTGCTCCTGGTTTGTATCTTGGCAACTCAATTTGTGGTCAGCATCAACTACCTTCGCTTGGCAACCACCTCAAGAGTGGAAGCATGTCGAAGCATGGTAAGTCTTCTATGGGTTTGAGTTTCTAGCACGGAAGCAGCCGCCTAAGCCCAAGGCTACGACGATTCGAACCCAACCTGTAATGCCAAAGGCGTCTTCGAACAAAAAGACCCCTTCACCCCAACCGCAGCTTCAACCACCCCGAAACCTAAACTCAAGGCCCAAAGCCGCGCAAGAAGAGTTCTATTCTTGGAGCCAACGAAGCCCGAACAGGGAGGGGGGCGAACCCGAAAGAGTCGTCTAATCCTGCAAGGATGAGGGGCGCCATGTCCTTTCAAGCGCTTCTGCGACGCAGTGATGGTTGACGGTTTTAGGTTTTTGGTGGAATATCGGTCACAATGAGTAAGACATGCAAATGTGCAGTAGATTCAGAAGGGCAACTGCTGGACTTTGAAGACTGTCTTGGGGCGGACTGATGGGTCAGAAAAACTCACAAGCCAGCGCCCAGCCTCAACATCTGCTAAAAAGACAAAAGAAACAGACAACACCAATCGTAAGGGTCCCACATATTTCATGACCCGCACGAAATCCAACCAACCCTGAAACCAAGCCTCATGGATGCAGCTTGCAGGATCAAGACTGGTCACGAAGCATCAGCTTCGCCCTCTGACATGAAAAGCCACCCAGAAACCTGCAAACTCCTGCACGCGATCCAGCCGTCGACAGCGATACTCCGCATCTTGGAAGCGCGATTAACATCTGTGACAACAGACATAACACTTCGAGATGCCAGCAGCAAGAACCAGAAGAATCCTTACCATTACAACCGAATAGTTATACTAGTCTTAGGGATAAGGCGAACACAGTAAGCACCTGCACCCCAAATCTCAAACCTCAACAATCCCTACACCTTTAACCGAAAACCTCAACC